GGAAAGTGTGGCTCAGTGGATTGAGCGTGGGCCTGTGAACCAGAGTATCGAGGTTCGATTCCCAGTCAGGGCACATGCCTGGGTTGTGGGCCAGTTCCCAGCAGGGGACGCATGGGAGGCAACCATACATTGATATTTCTCTCCCACTCTTTCTCCTTCCCTTCCCCTCTCTCGAAAAATAAATAAATAAAAATATTTTAAAAAAGAAAAAGGGAAAGTGTGATGTGTCATTTGTCAAAATGAATTTTACAGCCGCCTGGAACAAGGCCTCGTCATTCGTCCTCATACTGAATAATGTGGGGCTTACCTCTGCCACTCATTCAGGTGGCTTTCTGTTTGTTTTTTATACTGGTACCTTTGCGTTCTCCTGAAAACAATTGATTTGGTTCACTGAAATCGATGCCTTATTTTATGGTCCCCGGCTGCGATGCCTCTGAGTTAGTGGCAGAGGGGGAGAGTTGAATCACTGAAGAGTCATAAAAATTTTAGCAAACTTCCCCCCCTTTAGTAGTCAGATAAGCCGTTGGTACTTGACATTAACAGCATTCATGGAGTTTTTTTCCATTACAGAAAGATATTTTGACTGATTACATTTGAGGTGGAATAATTTTCTTGACTTTATTGTTGCATGAAAAAAGAAAATCATCTTAATATGATGCACATAATTTAGCTCCTGAGGTTGCTTCTTTGAAATTGCATTGATACAAAAAGGCAGCATGTTCAATACAAACCTACTACTTTAGGAAGTTTGCTGTGGAAGATTTGTGGAGTATTGTTGGGAACCTGTGAAGTTTCTTAGGTTTAAAAATTCCTATGTTCTTTTTAACTAGTTTGCTGTTATTGAATTACAACTTTTAAGAGAGCCAAGGATTGATGGTTGTTCAGGACATGCTCCAAATTCAGATACAGTAGACTCTGGCTCACCTGTGCAGTGGTCTAGCTCTGCTCTCCGACAGATGACCACTATCCGTACAGGCCTTCTGAATTTAAATTAACTAACATGGAAACAGATTCCCATTCACACGATCTGCATTCCAAGGTCTCGGTAGCCATGAGTGGCTAGTTTTACCCAGTTGGACTGTGTTGGTATAGAAAGTTCTATTGGACCTTGCTGGCCTAAAGATAATTCAAAAGAGATAATAAGCCCCCAATAATTTTTTATTTGTTTTTTTGGGGGGATTTTTAAAGAATTTTATTTAGTTATTAGAAATTTATTTAGTTATTCAAGTACAGTTTTGTGTCTATTTCTCCCATCCCAGCCTCCCCCGCCCCGTGCTCCCCACCTCCCTCCCATTTCCACCCCCTTTAGTTCTTGTCCCTGTGTCCTTCCTATTTGTTCCTCCAAATCCCTCCCCCTTTTTCCCCTAATTTTTATTTGTTTTAGAATTATCTAATGAGTGTTCTTTCTCACACATTTCCTTCTTAACAAGGCCTATGCTAAAACAGTTTTCTTCTTTGAATACTCCTCAAATGGTAGGAAGCAGGTCCTTATTTTATTTAGTTGAGATAAACATAATCTGAATGCAGAAAATATGCAAGTAATACTAAAAAGCTGTGGTAGATTCATAGAACTTTAGACTTGAAAAGGGACATTGATTGCATATAATGAAATCTTGTTATTGAACTAATGAGAAGTTTGAGGAACAGAGAGTTTAAGTAGTTTGTCTAAGTCACACAGCGAGCAGCCTTGTTACTCCTTATTCTCCAAGTTTTCACTGTTCTTGTCACTGGGCTAAGACCACTTTTTAAAGGGCCCAGTACTGTAATTCTGTTGTTCAACAACTTTCGAGACAGGAAGGCCCAATTATAATGAATTAACTTTACACAGAGCCACAAAGTGTATTGTACAAAACAGGAAGTGACCCTTTAAAAATTCAGTCTTCTAAGCCTTCTTTTCATGTCTTTGGGAAAAACATGCAGCTTTCATGAGCAGGCACTTTTACCTTCCGTCTTGAAATTACATGTATTTTTAAGAATCAAAAGGAAATTTGCTTCCTTTTAAAAATAGCCTTTGGGGGGGTCGGCTTAGGGTGCGTAATGTACTTTGGAAAAGGATTTGCTTTTTAAAATCCTGTTTTTATTTGCAAAGCTTATGGGTGGTCACTCGTAACCAGTAAGATTTGCCTCCCCCACAATTCCATTGAAAGCCAATTTCTGTGAAATGGATTGTCATGCTTATATTTAATATACTTTCTCCCAGAATTATTTATTTCCATAGTCACTGCATGAGTTCCGTTAGTTGTTGAGAGCTAGCTATGGCAAGCAAAGTAATTTATTCTAGGAACAGAGTACCTGCTTTGAAAAGACTGCATTTTGTTAACATTGGGAGATTGTTGGGTTGTTCCCACTGTGTTCTGTATTGTATCTCCCAGATACATGACGGCCTGATTCCTTCTTTCCTCTTCTACTGTTTAAATCTAGACCTTCACTGCATGTTGTTTTTAGTCTCTGTTTTCATTCAGTCTTGCTTCTATCTGTCACCTCTCTGGCATGCAGCTACCAGAGTGATTTTTCTGGAACGAATCTGATCATTTCACTTCATGGAATAAAAGCCTGCAAAGTGAAATTTGGGTCAGGTCCCAAACTATTCCTTCCTGGGTTCTGCCCGCCTCCCTGTTTGCATCCTCAAATCTTTGTTCAAGTATCACTTTCTCAGGATTTACCTGGCCACCATCTAAATGGCCATAGCCCTCGCCTTGCTCATCTGCATCTTCTCTCCATCTTTAGTTTTTCCTACAGCACTTACTGCCTTCTAAGGTATTATACAATTTACCAGTTTTCAGACTCATTGGTGCTTTCCCAGTTAGGATGCACTCTCTGCCGGGGCAGTCTGTGGTGTTTTGTTTGTGCCAAGTGTTTCATCTTTGATCCGTTTTCTTTTTTTTTAAAAATATATTTTATTGATTATGCCATTACAGTTCTATTTCCCCACTTCATTCCCCTCCACCCTGCACACCCCTTCCCCACCATTCTCCCCTTTAGTTTATGTCCATGTGTCTCAAGTCCTTTAGGTTCTATATTTCCCATGCTATTCTTGCCCCCCCCATCTATTTTCTACCTACTGTCTATGCTACTTATTTTCTGTACCTTCTCCCCCCTTCTCCTTCTCCCACTCCCCTGTTGCTAACCCTCCTTGAGATCTTCATTTCTATGGTTCTGCTCCTGATCTAGCTGATCTGTTTTCTTCACTTGCCTGTCCTTCTCCCCTTCAAGTTCTCAGTAATTCCTGGGTTACCCTGAGGAGAGCCGTGCAAGGCAGGGTTTTCCAGAGCATGCGCCTTCTCCCTCTTTCTTCGTCCAGGCCATCTTGTGGCCCCTGGGCTCAGCAGGTCTTGTTTCCCTGCCTCAGTGATAGAGTGAATCCATAGACTCGCAGTCGCGCTTCTTGTTGTGAGGTGGGTTTTACTTTTGTGCTGTCCTCCTGAGTAGCCTCTCAGGGGGAGGCTGTTGGTTGTTGGGTGTGTGGTTGGATGGCTACTGGCTCATGGGCAGGTGGTTTCCCTGCAGATTGAGTTCCCAGCAGCAGTCGCGATAAAGTGGTGAGTGCTGCTTTCCTCTGTGAGATCCCGGCGGTAGGTCACGGGCTTTGCTGTCCAGTCCCTCTGCGTGCCCCCCCCCCCATTCTCTCCCACTGCTGTGTGCAGCCCCATGTGGGGGGGAGTCTCCAAAAGCAAAGCTTTCCACAGATTCGTGTGTCTGCATCATAATCAGAATGGTGAAGAAGTTCTCTTAGAGTATGCAGTTCTGCCCCTTGTCATGGGGATACTTTGGCAGCCTGATGTCCGTGGGGTAAAACTAGCCAGCCTCAACACTCTGATGCCGGGTGTGCCAGTGTCATCCATTTTAAATAACTTTAGAACCCATTGGTCTATTATATGGGTTCCTGTATTTGTCGTTGTTTCCATGAAAGCTTTCAGAAATTAAGGTTATCAAGTAATTCACTAGTGATAAGGGATAACTGAATTATTAAAGAAAAAAACCTGGTTTCTATTTAGGCTTAAATCATTCCTTTAATTTTGACAAAAACCTCAAAATATTTTTCAGGGAAGTAATATGAAGAGCACCAAAATGAGGGGTATGAGAGAGAGAGAGTGTGTGTGTGTGTGTGTGTGTGTGTGTTTGTGTGTGTGTGTGTTTTAAGAAGGGCAAGGGTATAATATTCTTAAAAGATACTTTACCAGTATGTCAGTGACAAAATATTCCATTCATGTAGCTACTGATGTACTATTCTTTTCCTTCATATATCTTTGGCATTTTCCTGATTGTAACTTTTATGTACATGTGAAATAAAAGTGAACATTAAATAAATGAAAGGTTGAAACGCCCCATGTGTGACTGTGTCTACCCTCCCAACGCTGTAAATGGCTGACCCTCAGTAATGACTGCGCCTGGGTGTCTTATGCATGTGACATACTGAACTAGATTATAGGGTTCTGTGAACACTGAGCATAATTTTGCTTGTTTTACCATCAGTCATGTCAGAATGCAAGTGTGGAATACTCATGCTATTATAGCAAAAGTCTGATTGGCCACAAAGCCTCATGTTTGCAAATGTTGGTACCTTACCTGGTTTCGGTGACAATTGCCTGGGAGACACTGTACATCTTACCTGTGTGTGGGGATGCTGAGGCTGAGGCAGGCTTGGTGCTTCATGGTATCGAGGAGGAGGGAACAGTTGGGGGAGGGCGAAGTGTCTTGCCAACATTACCAGGGAAGATTAGGTGTTGAAACATAGACTTTATTTCTTGATGAAAAATGTGTCCATTTTAGTGTTGATCATAACTTGTAGAAAATTGATGGCTTTGCTCAGCTGTGACCTTTGTTGTTGACCTTGTGTAGCTATGTACTCTTTGGTCTTAATTCTTGGTGTTTTCTGTTATTATTACATTGTATCCTGCATGTTATAATGAAATGGTAGCAGCCCCCATAGGATGCTGTTATTTTTGGAGCGTTTAAAATGAGAATAAGTCTGATTTTTTTTCTTTGTTGGTCGCCTTTAGGTAATTGTTCCTGCAGGATGAATTAAGGGAAGACCCTTGTTCTTTAGGGATGGAGAGCAGTTTGCCCGTCACCAACATGCCAGACCCCTCATCGTCTCCCTTGGAGAAGCACCCGAGCTCATCAAATGGCAATGCGGATCTTGATTCAGGTGCGATTTTGCTTTCTAGATCCATCTGACCTTTTGATGTGTTGGCCACACAAAATCTTTCTGAAAATGTTCAGGAAACAATGGGGCATCATTTCTAGATCTCAGGTGCTGCCTCTCCCTAGGATTTGCTATCATATTTATAAGCATATAGCAGCTTGAAATTTGGGCAAAATTTGGTTCCAAATTAAAATTACCTATGTACTAGACAGAGTGGGCTAGGTGATAGGTGACAAATCACTTCAAAATCTCAGTGGCTTACCACATACATGTTTATGGTTGTTCACACCGTGTAGTTCAGACAGAGTCGGTGGGTGCTCCCTCCACTGCATCCTTCCACAGCACCTCACCAGGAAGGAGAGCTTCAGGGTCTTGAATCAGTAAATAAATGGCCTCGTTCAGAAGAGGCAGGTACCTTTTTTGCTTAGAACTTCATTTTTATAAAATTTATTTTTGGCCCTGGCTGGTGTAGCTCAGCGGATTGAGTGTGGGCCTGCAAACCAAAGGGTTGCTGGTTTGATTCCCAGTCAGGGCACATGCCTGGGTTTCGGGCCAGGTCCTCAGTAGGGGGTATGCAAGAGGCAACCACACATTGAGTTTCTCTCCCTCTCTTTCTCCTTCTCTTCCCCCTCTCTAAAAATAAGCAAATAAAGCCTTTCTTTTTAGCCCACAATTTGCATTCACTATTATTTTGTATTAGTTTCAAGTGTATAGCACAGAGAGCGGACAATCGTATACTTTACAAAGTCTTCCCCCCGCAATATTTTTAAATACCCAGCTGGCACCTTACCTAGTTGAATCCTTTTCACTATATTTCCTATGCGGTGGTACCTTATATTCCTGTGACTATTCTGTAACTACCGATTTGTAGTTCTTAATTCCTGCACCTCTCACCCAGCGTCCCTCTCACGCCCCACTCCCTGCCCCTACGCTCAGAACTTCTCGGCCTGAACAGGTCGAGGGAGGCACAGACACGGAATTCTCTGGCCTGTGCCCAGAAAGCGAGGTTGGCAAGATATGCCTAAGCACTGGATGCCGCCACGTTCCAAGGCTCTCTCTGAAACCTTCAGCACGACTTTCAGAAAGTGGCATAACGTGCAAGAAACCCAGGTCATGTGAATTTGTGGTAAAGTCCTTCTACCTTTGAGAAATCACAAAACAAACAAGATCAAACCAGTCTTTGAATTTTGATATTTAAACAATGAATTTGTAAATGCGTCTTTTTCTAAATACGTGCACAAGAAAGAGTTTATTTTAAAAACTTTTTTTAAAGGGTTGCACTATTGCCTAGCAGCAGATTAGATGAGGACAGTTTAACTCACAGAAACGTAAGCGTTGCTGTGGTGAATTCAGATTGGACAGTTGTCTGAAGGAGGTGCTTTCAAATTTTGGTGAGACTGGTCAGCGGTGGAATTACAGATTGCCTGATGTCACTGAATTTGCCACATTAGGTTTCTTATGTTATATCTTTACCTGAAAAAAATGTGGAACCCCCTGAAATAATTGCCTGAAAGATGTTAGTATCTCTTCCAAAATCAGCTCATTCTCCCCTGTCAGCTATTTCTCTATATAAAGTAAGAGAGAGAAAAGCTCTAAAAGCAGAGTTGACTCTTTTTTCTCCCAGTAGGAATATGGAAACTCTGTTTCTGAGAGAGCATAATCCTATGGACCGAAAGCTCAGTCTAGTCATTCTACTTTTACTTAAATACAAATATGCCTCTAAAAAGTCTTTGTTTTGTTTGTTGAATGAGGTCATGTTTTCACTTTGGAGTCCCTGATTTTCATCATATTTTTGTCGTACACACATCTGATGTCTGTGACTGCATTGTTTTCCATGGTATGTTTTCAAAACGGCAGCCGTGTTGTTGACTTTTCATTTTCAGGCAGCTGCACTGTATCTCTTTAGCTGATGCAGATTCTGAAACTTAGTAATAGTAATAATACGGTATCAGGAACATTATTTGTGCTGCGTTTCCCCTGCGGTTGACCCCAGGAATGGGGAGGTGTGAGTGCAGCATCCTGTCCCTGGCTGGGCTGCGGCGCCCGGATGTGCTCACCTCTTGGTTAGGTCTTGCTCTTGTCTGGTGGGAGGCCTGAGTCATCTGAGAGGTGAAGTTCTTTAATAGGACTAATAGTTCTACATAGCTCTAAAGTATCTTAACATTTCTCAGATATTGGTCCTGATGTTGTTGTTGTTTCTTTTTCTATATGGCCAATCTATTTTTTCTCCTTGGAGCTTCCATTTATACCTGTGTGTTGAGGAGACTTTTAGATGGAGCCACAAGGACAGACTTTCCTAAAGAGGAAACCAGCTTAAAGCAGGATCTGAACCCTTGTAGAGGGCAGAGGCTGACTGGTAGTGATTCAGATCTAGTTTTGAACATTTAGACTCTTACGAACACACCCAAGTAGGAGTTGTCAAGTAGTTTGTTTTCCCAGGTAGTTCCCATTTCACCTGTTAATACACAAAATATCTTCTGTCCGCCATCAGTTGTGTGTGTATTTGGTTCTGGGACCAGCTACTTAGAGGTGGATGGCGTCTGAAACCTTTTCCTGGAAGAGTTGTAACAGAGAAGGACGTGGACCAGAGCTGGGTTTCTGCAACTCTGGGCATCCCCAGTTGCCCTGATACAAGCAAGCAAAACATGATGCTGACACAGTGATGGATAGGTTCCTGGGCATAATTTTTCCAGTGTGGTCGGATGTAATTTCCTGATGAAGTGTGTAGAGGAAGCATTGTTGCATATCTGCAGTGGGCAATCCTGAGTAAAAAGAATTACTCTGGAAACATGGACTTGACATTTTTGGTGGGGTGGTATTAGCATGTATCAACTGGAGTGCCACAGGCTTTTGTATTCAGGAAGGAAATGAATCAACACTCTTCTTAGAGAAATTGGGATCTCTGACTGTTCATGCTGGGAAGGAACTAGTTTTATGTGACTCTGTTCTAGTCCCTTTCTAGAAAATCCCCTCTTTTAGATAGTCATTGCCTCTCCTAGCTAGGAGACTGGGTCATTTTCTTTCTTTCTGGAAAGACGCTCTGGATGTCTGGGTAGCTGAGATAGCCGTGAGGACCCCTGTGCTCTGGTGACTGTCCCTCCTCCCTGGTGTGGTCCTGCAGCTATGAACTCTGATCGGGGGTCGGCATGGCCAGTCCTGCCTGACTTGCATTCCAGCGGGGTGTCTGTTTAACACCCGCACAGTGCAACTTTTTTCTGCACCTTATGGTAGTATGAATGGACTATCAGCAGTGGAAATAACAAAGATTTATATTTTTCTTTCCACATTGAAAAAAATCTCTAGCACACAGGAAGTAGCTCTGTAAGATTTTGTTCATTTCAAACCTGCCAGTTCTCCATGTTTTTATAATTGGGTAGTGATTCTGGGCTTTAATATCAGCTTTGCAAAGTTAGCCTTATTTCAGGTTGTGAAAGTGTGCAACCCAAGATTTGATGACTTAAAAAAAAAGATGTATGAATCATATGTTTGTTATATTTTTCACTGTTAAGTAGCTTACACTCTCACTTCTGTAAGGTATTCTTTTTCTGCTCACTATGAAATATTCTGGTCACATGAATAGCTTTCTGTTTTCTAAGAGTAGAATGCTACTAATGAACAAGCCTGTTTTCTTTTAAGTTGTGAGATTTTCTAGTAGCTTTTCATAGTCTGTTTTCATTACATCATGGGGCAATGCCTCCAACTGGTTCGTTTGCAGTGGAGGGAGATTGTCAGAGTTTCCTTGATAAAATGTTTATGGGTTTAAGAGGTTTATGAATCAGCAGTAAATATTTGCTCTGGGTTTATGAGACCTCCACTCATAAACATCACATGTGTTTATCTATTGCTCACTGAAATGTCTTTAGAGAATCAGCTGCTTAGGGCCCATGCTGTGGAGGAAGTGTTAATAAATTACAGCTCTGAAAAGGCTGTATTGTGAGGAACCCTACATTTTGTATCGGATTTTGTTGTTAAATCTGCACACTTCAAGTTACCAGCTGCTGGGCAGAAAGGTTTTTAAGTATTTTTAATAGAATTCTAGGTCTGACTTTTGGGGTGCTCATTAAAGTATTTTTTTTTAGAAAGCAGAGAGTAACAGCTTTCTTTCCCACTGTACTTAGTGACACACCCTCGGGAGTCACAATGGTACCTCTTTCTCCCTTGCGTAACTTGAACAAATAAATGAATGAATACCTGAGTGAACATGAAAGAATCTATTACCTATAATATTGGGGGAAGAGATTGGAAACATAGCTTGTCATGGATTAAAATTTGGTGCAAACAAACATTTTGGGTAAATGCTGATAGCCTGGGTTAGAATTTTATGAATAGTAAAGAGCTGCAAGGAATGGTCTCAGTCGAAGTTGAGGAAGTGAGTGAAGTCTTACTCTCACTGCTCCACGAGCCCTCCTTTTGTGCCTCTGCCAGCATTCTGCTTCACCCAGGGACTGAATGCCCCTTATCAGAAATGTTTCCCTGAAAAGAGCCAGCAGCTCCTGCATCCTCCTGCTAACAAGGATGCCAGGTAGTTTCCAGCCAGGAAGACACAGTAAGGCAGACACAAAGAGAAAGCAGTCACCTTCTGGAAAACTTGTCTGGGTGTTGACCCCCAGCTCCGTCCGCAAAGCTGTCGCCCCAGACAGCACTGGACATCAATTGCCACATTTGTTCTTTGATCCATTAGCCAGAGACATCACAACAGTGCTGTTTATTTGTCCAGGCGACCTGGTGCAGGATCTGTGGGTAGTTTTTATATTCTTGGACATTTGATTGTAAACCATTTGATGGGAGTAGAATTTGAGGAGATGGTGTTAAGCAACTTTGATTTAGAAGACAAAATTGAAGATGACTGCCTTTCAACTTAGTATCCTCTGACTTTATGAAAATTAGTTTCTCCTATCATTTTCATTTTCTGAGACTATGCAGTGTATCACAACAAAATTACTTTTCTAACTTCTAATTTAAAAATCTTTAGTAGGAACAAGTAGCGATAGCCTTCAAGAACTAGGTTTTCTTTCTTAGACCCTCCCGTCGCAAATCCCTCTGGCCAAGGGATTTGTTCTTGGCCAGTGAGATAGCTTCTTGCTAGCAGAAGATAAACGGTTGGCTATTTCTGCAAGAAAAGAGAATCTAAACTTTTGAAGCCCTTACCTGTACCTTCATGTTTGGACAGCCCTTACTGCTGTGTTCTTACTTTACTGTGGTCTTGCAAATCAACTAAAGTAATGTTTACAGCTGATCAGTTCTTTCCATATGAAGTCATGATGCAACATTTACGTTATCTGTACTGTTAAAAAGTGTCATTTGGTGTTTTTCAGTTACACAGATTATATCTTACATATACAGTCTTGAATGTTTGGGGAATTACTTGACTTCTGATTTTTTTTACCTTGTCCTCCAGTCTCCCCGAAGAATGGAGTGTCTCACTTCATTTGCCTAGGCGCACTCAGTAGTATCCCTGGTTTTGTCAGGGTATCCCGGCACATTCCTTCACTGTTTCCTTTCTTCAGTCTCCTGTCTACAAAATCAGCAAACCGAAGCTGTGAAGTGAATGTGACAGTGTCCTCCAAAACCACTGAATCCATTTATCTCTTGAGTTAAGGATATTCTGATCTTCACTGGAGGCCTGTACCGTTCCATTCTTCACTCTAGTATTGATGGTCTTGTGTTTTTTGTTTCCTTGGCTTTGGTCTTTCAACAGAAGAGGGTTCAAGCGTGGAGGAAATCGGCTTTAACTGGGGGGAGTACCTGGAGGAGACGGGCGCCAGTGCAGCTCCTCACACGTCCTTCAAACATGTACGTAGCCTTCCTTCTCCTTCTCTTTCTGGTCTGCAGTTGGGAATATAGCCAGAATTTCTTAGACATAAAGAAGAGATGGGGAAATTTGTTTGCCTTTCACAGGTAGCTGCTGGTAAGGTGGATTAGGCCCTTACCACTCATCTCACTCAACATGGGGCTGGGCCCGGGGTGGGCGCTCAGTGGGTGAGGAACGGTGTGGAGTTTTTACCTTGTTTGTCCCTCAGAAATACCCGGTTTGCCAGATGTGGCCCTTGCTCAGGGCTTGACACAGGTCAGATTGATTAGAATAAGTAAGACCCAGCTAGCCAGGCAAGTCGGTGTGGTGTGTAATGTCTTCTTACGAGGTGTAATGGCTGTATATTTTTATTATGGATTGATGTTTTTATTTTGAAAGGACACATAAAAATTTTACAGTCTTTTGTGGGTAGATGAGTCAAATTAGGGGAAATACTATAAATATTCAGAAAACATTTGGATCGAGCCAAAAAATAATCATTCTTAACAATGATTTCTTTGAATAATGCAAACAGCTTGCCCACTAGAGTGAAAGTCCGAGGAAATTAAAAGTTGAGCTTTTTTTTTTTCAGGTTTTTGCTTCTATTTGAGGTTTTGGCAATATATATTGTTAACAAGGGAAAGACTAAGTTTCCAAGATCTAAGGTTTTTGGCATTACCATTGCTTTACTGGACAGAAAAATTTAATTCTGAGAAACATTCTTTTTTCACTGGGCTACCCAGGGCAAAGATTCAGCCTGAGTCCCATTAACAAATTAGGGTACTTTCTCAACCTGTTCTTGTTTTTGGCTCTCTCGCTGAGTTACTGAGCCAGAACTTTGGAACTTTGATTCTTTATTTTAATGCTACATTTTATTGTTTTTGGAGATGAAATGTTCTTTTGAAAAGAAGTTTAAGGCCTTATTAAATTTGCATGACCTTGTAAAAGTCAATCACATTCCCAATTCTCTTTTTATACTAAATGTTTGTAATACTATAATTACTTGTTTATTATGAATGTGGTTTTGGCCATTTAGTGAAGCCAAGAGGTAAATATTAAAACATAACAGAATTGCAGCTCACCTGGCAAAGAGCGAGGGTATGATCCTGCAAAGCTTCTTACCATTCTTAGATGACTCGTTTGTGTCCCTTTAGGCAGTTTAGGAAAAAGATACTGAGTGACAACTTTTTCCTTTTCTATTTTACTGATAAAATTATCAATACCTCTCCATACGGAGTAACTCTAGTTCTCTTTAATTCATTCAGTTCTCCCACCTTCTTTTTAATCACAATAGCTCAGGAAGCAGAGTGTCCCCAGGCCTGTGTGCAAATTGTCCAGGGAAAGCATCATTGGCTGAACCATGATGAATGAACCAGCCACGTGTAATTCCATCCTCTCTTTAAGCGGCTGCTATTCCTGGACATCAGATGCTGTAGCACTGTAATGACTGCTGGGCTGGAAAACTTCCTTTTGGGGAGGAGGGCTGGGAAATACTCACAGACTCTAATCCTTCATTAATAAAAAGAAAATCCATCCAAGGCTGTCCTGCTCACCAGCTGCCATCAGCCACCTGGAGCCTTTGAGCACGTGGCGAGACCGTGGTCAGCATTGGGGCGTGCTGTGAGTGTAGAGCGCACACCTGGTTTTGGATCAGAAAAGGATGATGTAAAAGAGCTCATGGATATATTTTATGTTGATCATATCTTGAAATGATGACATTTGGGATATTCGAGTTAGAGAAAATATTACAGTTAATTTTATCTGTTTTATCTGTTTAATGTGGCTACTGGGAAATTCAGCGTCACATTTGCGGTTGTCACTGTATTTCTCTTAGTGCTGTTTTAGAGCAACAGAAATTCTGTTTTTATGTGCTGTGTTTTTAAACAATTCTGGTAATTTTCTGGATGTGTATGTCTAGTATAATAATGGGTTTTCTGTGTTTCTGGTTCCTTAAGGTTGAAATCAGCATTCAGAGCAACTTCCAGCCTGGGATGAAATTGGAAGTGGCCAATAAGAACAACCCGGACACGTATTGGGTGGCCACTGTTATCACTACTTGCGGGCAGCTGCTGCTTCTGCGCTACTGTGGTTACGGGGAGGACCGCAGGGCCGACTTCTGGTGTGATGTGGTGATAGCTGATCTGCACCCTGTGGGGTGGTGCACTCAGAACAACAAGGCCCTGATGCCCCCGGATGGTAAGCTCCCTGCTGGCCCACATTTCAGAGACTTTGGGTTTATAGGCCATCCTTATTCATGATGCTTGCAGGGAAAACTTTGCAGAGATTCTGAAACCGATTTAGTGGGAAGGTCTAACACCTTAAAAATTGCTTCGTGAGTTTCATTAGCTTAGTGGCTCCAGAGTGAGAGGGAACTTGGGTGCATTTTGGGATGTCCAAACTTATCCTGGCAACTGAAGCAAGCATGGCCTTTAGGAGCCAAGAGCTCTGGAGCCTGATTCTGGAGTAACAAAGGAGGCTGAAGGGAGACCGAGACTGAGGTCTTGTTTTCCTTTACCGATTGATTATGTTGCTTTTCTTTTGCTTTGGAGACTTGACATTTTGTATAGTGTCATAGGGCTTCAGAAATGGATCTCTTTAGTTTTAATCTCTCTTGTTGTCGGGGGACTGTCAAGGTGTGTTGCATGTAGAAAACCAGACAGGTGAGGAGACGTGACATTATTCTTAAGGGAATTGTCAAAGTTGTATAGATAAAATCCATTCAGTGGCTAGAAAACCATGGCCATTTTGCTTCCCAGGGCACATACGGTAACATCTGAAAGATTTTTGACTGTGAGAGGGAAAGGAGGGGAAGCTCCTGGCATCTAATGGGAGGAGGCCAGGATGCTGCTCAACATCTCACAACACAGAGGACAATGCCCCCAACAAAGAATTATTAGGCTCAAGCTGTCATAGTTGAGAAATCCTGCTGTAAAAGAATGGAGCAGCCTGTTACAAATGCATTAAAGGAACTCATCTGATCCTGTGAGTGAAAAAACTGAGTCACCAAATATTTCAGCCTCAACGCCCTGTCCTCTGTGTTTCATTACATGATGATGGCAGCGGTTACACTTGAAGACTTTTGATGCTAATTCTCAAGCATGTGTAATGTCCTCTTAGCATCTGGCTGCCACTTTTAGCTTTGCATGGGTATTTGTATTTGGAAGAGACACATATAGTTTTAGAGCTGAAATCCAAGGTTCATTGTGTCCACCATATTCACGATTGCTTTTGCCTTTCAGAACAATTAAATTTTGTCTTCTAATCTAAGTTCTGATATATGTTTTTTCTGACAGTTGGAAATGGTCCGTAGTTTTTTTTACCACCCTTTTTATGAATAATTGAGAGCCTGCTAAGTAGTGGGGGCATAATACATGCATGGAGTTTGAGTTGCATTTATGGGACACGTGTAAGGACTGAATTTGTTGTGTTGGCCTTAGCTAACATCTTGACCCTTAATTTGTCAGAAGAGAGAAAGGCCCTTCTTTCTTCTCTGCTTGCTTTGGGTCTTTGCACTGGCCCTCTCCTCTGCTTAGAAGCCCTCCAGCACCTCTTCCTCCTCCAGCTGGCAGCTCATTCGATCACTTCCTCAGGCAGCTGCGGTCAAACCCGATCTTTGCTCACAGGATCTTGTGTACCCTCAATGTTGATCGTGTTTGCACCTGTGCCCCCAGTTCACCAGGTTGTGCAGCTACTATCACTGCCTAATAGCAGAGCATTTCCATCACCCCATAAATAAATCCTGTACCCATTCACAGTCACTCTCCATTCTCCCCCCTCCCCCCCGCCCCCAGGCTCTGGCAGCAACCACTAAGCTACTTTCTGTTTCTATAGACTTGTTTATTCTGGACATTTCTCATACATGGAATCACAGAGTATGTGGCTTTTTGTGTTTGGCTTCTTTTGCTCAGCATGTTTTATTGAAAGACACCCATGTTGTAGCATGTATCAGGACTTCATTCCTTTTCATAGCTGGATCGTATTCCATCGTATAGATAGATCACATTTGGTTTATCCCTTTGTCCGTGGGTGCACATCTGGGTGCAACTGTACTTTGAATTGTGCGGTTCTTTGAATATTGGTATAGAGGACTTATCCCCTCACCCCCACTTCTGTATTGGTTTATCTTTGTAGAAGTGTGAGTCTTTATTTCTAACCTCTATTGAGGGGCACTTTTCAGGTGAGTGCTGGAGAATGGTTGTTACTGTGTTAGGTTTTATTTTATTTTATTTATTTATTTATCCTCACCTGAGGCAATTAAAAAAATTACTTAGAGAGACAGACAGACAAACAGACATTGATGACATCAGTGTGAGAGGGCAACACCAATTGGTTGCCTTCTCATATACACCCCAACTGGGGTTCAGGTGCACAACCTGGATACGTGCCCTGGTCGGGAGGGGGTGAAACCCACAGCTTTGTGGTCTACAGGATGATGCTTCAACCAGCTGAGCCACACCGGCCAGCTTGTGAGCCTTTATTTTTAACTCCTGTTCTACTTCTGCAAGAGCCAGGAGTTGGGTGAATGCAATGCCATAATGCCTGTGGTAATGCTTACTTCTCCTAGTCCCAGGCCCAGCCTAAGTTGTGCCTTAAGTGACGTTTTAATTTATTTATATTTACCCTTTTTACAAAATTTTAAGTGTATAGTACATTATTGTAAGTACAGTGCTCTACAACAGGTCTCTAGAACTTTTTTATCCTGCATAGCTGAAACTTTGTACCAACAGAATAATAACTCCCCATGGCCACCACCATTCTGCTCTCTGCTAAAATGAGTTTGACGGCTTCAGATGCCTCAAATAAGGAATCATGCAGTGTTTGTCCTTTTGTGACTGGTTTATTTCACTTAACAAATGTCCTCAAGGTTCATCCATGTGGTAGCATGTGATAGGATTTCCTTCTTTTTAAAGGCTGAATAATATTCCATTGGACTTTGATTTAAAACAGCCACTGAGGTGAGAAGATATAACATACAATTATTTAATTCACCTATGATTTCTGATCTGTCGTAGAGTAAACCAGTCTTGATGGATGAGTTGTACTGATGGACTATTGTGAAAAGAACAGTTCTCCTTGAATTTGATCTTACCTGAGAAGCACTTTATCTGTCCTTCCATTCTAAATGAAAGTTTTGCTGGATAGAGCAATCTTGGTTGTAGGTCTTTGGATTTCATGACTTGGAATACCTCTTTCCAGCCCCTTCTTGCCTGTAAGGTCTTTTTTGAGAAATCTGCTGGCAATCTGATGGGGACTTAACAACCACACCTAAAACAAAAGCAAACTAAAAGGACAGCTAGATCAGGAGTGGAAACATAGAAATGAAGATCTCAAGGAGGGTTAGCAACAGGGGAGTGGGAGGAGGAGAAGGGGGGGAGAAGATACAGAAAATAAGTAGCATAGACAGTAGATAGAAAATAGACGGGGGGGGCAAAAATAGCATGGGAAATATAGAATCTAAAGAACTTGAGACACATGGACATAAACTAAAGGGGGGTAATGGTGGGGACAGGGGGGTAGGGTGGAGAGGAATGAAGGGGGGAATAGAACAACTGTAACAGCATAATCAATAAAAAAATTTTTAAAAAAAAGAACAGTTCTAGTTAGAAAATTAGAGGCAGTCCCATTTGCTCAGCTCTACATACAAAGGTCACATAGATAGGCCCGCACTCACCCGAGAGGGTACAGGCAGACGTGTGTGCAGTAACTGCAGGGAGCCGATGCACACCTGGGGGCACTGTGAGAGGGGGACGCAGCAGGAGACCTCGAGGTAGGTCCCCGCTCCTGGCTGCAGCCTTGCCTTTCACTCTCCTTGCTTACGTCACTCATGCATGACTCACTCTTAAAGTTTGACCCTAGTAGCTAAACGCCCTTGGAAAGGATGTAAGATAGTTTTACTTTATAGATTATTTAGTGAATAGTTTTAGAGAGAAGTTCCAAGGCACTGAATTTCAGCACTGTTAAGAGCCATTTGGTTCACTTTATAAAAATCCATGTTGTGGCTTGAGAAAGAAGGCGTAGTTTGTTCAGCAAGTCTTTCTCACTCGGATGAAAAATGTGGCCGCAGTCACAGTTTCAGAAACACTGTCAGATTTGTTTCCTACTGACTTCATGCGATGAGGCAAGACACAGGTGCACTTAAAATGACAAAGGCAGAGTGAAGACGCGGAAAACCCTGTGTAGAGGGAAACCGCTAATGTGACTGGAAGTTTGGAAGGCTCTTCACACGGTAACAAGCTATACTAATTTTGAGAATGTCTTTATTGTTCATTTTAAAGAACTTTAAAAATATTTAGTAGGTAGTCAGTATGATTTAGAATTCTTCAGTGCAGAGAACAAAGTCAGGAAATAGCAGGTTCATGGAGCAAAAGGTTTTATTGATTGCAGTAGTACAGGATAATCATTGCTTTGTAGCCAGACAGCACTTGCTCCACTGGGAATTGCAGAATCTATTTTTGAACAAGAATTCTTGCTTCTGTGGTTTTCTGTTTTAGAGAGCTAATATCATTGTAAGCTCCACAAATGTACCTGCTTGATCTTTCTGCTGGTTAAACTTGAAAGGCATCGTGGAATATGCACACAAGTTAAAGCACTCCATGACACGTAATGCTTTTGTTTGAAATGTTTCATGGTGGTAGAGAGATTTGTTACTGATCCCAGGACTCGGGGTGGGTGGGGGTTGTATAAATGGAGGAGCCTTGCAGCTGGAGCCAGGACATGGGGTTCTTATCTTGCCTCTGCCATTAATTTGGCTGCATGGGTGAGACCCCCTCAATTTTCGCATCTTGGAAATGAGGAGGTTATAGTGTACTGTAATGTCTTAAGAGCTTTCCAATCTGACATGCCCCGGTTTGCGATCCTTGCCAAGGAAAGGTGGAGGAAGAAGGTGCTGCTTTGCTACTGTATGCACTAGCAATGGAATTTGTTTTGGAATTTGGGTCTATGGAAACCTAGTCCAGACATCTGTGCAGAGCACAGAGGTAAAACTCCCAGGTTACTATTGGGGATGATGAAGTTTCAACGGGTTGAAGGACACGGTAGGTGGGGAAGGGTCCATCGTTACTGGCAGTGGCTATAATTTAGCTCGCTAAGGGTTGTGGACTCCGCTTTCCCTGTGGAACCTGGAGAACCAGCAGTAACCTCACCTGAGCGAGAAAGATCAGTGCAGCTGGAGTTGAGTCATTTGTTATGGATGTGAC